AACCCCTACAGCACCCCCCCGGACCACCAGGGGGCCCAAGGTTCGTCATCATCAAAGGAATCATTACTGTGAATTTAACATGTGTACTTTCTACTTTTTTGTAATGCTATTTTATTTCTATTGAGATGTTTACATTTTGGATTGTTCATTTCTAGTCTTTAGATTTTTGATGTGCAATGCCTCGTCTCTTTTTGCTGCTGCAACGCAAACATTTCCCAAATTGGGATCATTAAGTAATTCTTATCTTATTTTATCTTATATAATCTCATCATGTATCTGTTTACAACCTGTTGCAGCAGTTATACAGGCATCAAATCAAATATAACCAACAATGGGCTCAGTGGGAGTTGTAGTTTTTCTGATAATGGATTTGTAGTTTTTACAGTAATTTGAGTTTTTTCTTATGTTGGATCGTAGGAGTTGTGTCTCCCTCAGGTGTGATGGAGGTGAGCAGTCAGGAGAGGAAGGTTTCTGAGGAGCAGAACACCGAGAGCCAGAAACAGAAGGTGAGTCCTGACACTGTGTTCCAAGTCTCTCTCACCATGAGCTCAGCAGCGAGTAGATAGGAGATGAGAAACTGAAGTCCTCCTCCAACAGAGCATTATGAATATATATATAGAGGACATGGAACACATAAAAGGTGTGTGTGTGTGTGTGTGTGTGTGTGTGTGTGTGTGTGTGTGTGTGTGTGTGTGTGTGTGTGTGTGTGTGTGTGTGTGTGTGTGTGTGTGTGTGTGTGTGTGTGTGTGTGTGTGTGTGTGTACACTGCCCACACTGCCCTCTAGTGGAACTGTACACTCGTCACACTGCATATTTTGTTTTCTGAATCTGAAACTCAGGCAGCTTGGCTGTAATTAAAGAGGCCCTGTTCTGCTTGTAGGGGTGTTCCCTCTCCTGTAGTGTGTGCTGTTGGTTTGGGTGCATGTAAATGGTCTGAAACGCCTCCATCGGACTTCTTTGTTTACTTCCTGAACATGGTGACATCACTATGGAACACTCCGGCTTCTTTTGGCTAGCGCTCCAACACATTGTACCTGATAGGCTAAGGGGCGGGACGTCTCTGAGCGGTTGCCAATCACAACAGAGCCGGACAGCTAACCAATCAGAGCAGATTTGAAATGACATGACACGTTACACCCATCTTCATGTTGATGATTGAAGCTGTGGTTGTAATTGGGTTATTCAACCAAATATAGATTTTCTAAACTCATCCAAAGTTAAAACATTAGTATTGTGTTTTTTAGAAATTAAAATGAAGTCCACATTCAAGCCTTCTACATTTTTTAAGATCTGAAACCGCTGCTTTTTTTTTTTTATATTTAAACCATTGATATTATTTTTTTTATGTTTAGAGAAGGACGATAAGTGGTGTTTATACACGCAGCCTTCAGGCTAAGGTCCATCGTTAAGGGCGTAGCTTCTGGAGGTAATGGATCGATGCAGGATTGACTTGCTCTGTATCTTCAGAGACCGCAATTGTTTAATCAGGGAGGAATGTTAAATCAACAGTGTTCATTTTACTCAACCACAGGTTAGGATTTTTTTGCAGCAACTCTCAATTTTCCCAGAGCTGTAATATTGAAACAAGACCCAGATGTCTGTCTGTCTGTCTGTCTGTCTGTGTGTGTGTGTGTGTGTGTGTATAGTCTGAGGATTTGTTTGTGCCCTGATCATCTGGAGACCCTCGCCCTGATGTCTGCTCCATCAGTAACACACACACAGTAACACACTCAGCAACAGACACACACTCAGTAACTGACACATACACCCAGCAACACACTCACACAACCCAGCAACAGACACACACTCACACTAACACGCTCAGTAACAGACACACACTCATTAACAGACACACACTCATTAACAGACTCACACACTCAACAACAGACCCATACACACACTCACACAACCCAGCAACAGACACACTGTCAGTATCACACACACAGCAGCAGAGGGAGCAAAGCATGTTTTCCTGCTGCTGAGGGGGGGGTATTTATAGGCTGATAACGGCATGTGTCCTTCACGTTGCAGCATGGACGCTTTCACATTCAGGACAAACTCCTGAAATAACAAGTGAGAGACGTTCCCAAATAAAACTCTGCGGAGGTTTGGAATAACAAAAATGAGTTTTATTAAGACAACAAAAAAAGGCCCTGAATAACTCAGGAACATGATCAGATACTTCGGTACGAAGCGGTGGTGGCCGTCTTTCTTTTACGCCGAGACGAAACAAATACAAAAAACAAACTCAGAAGGAATTCCAAAAAGGTGAAAGCACCACAGGTGTGACGGCCGACCTTTCACAAACAAGGTTACATCACTGAAAGCCCCCCACATGTCTGATGTTGACAGGATATGGATCTAGAGGAGCAATGTGGAGCTGCTGTTGACAGAGGTTCAGGAGGGGGAGGGGGGGTCCTGCGTTGAATGCCAACAGAAAAGACCCCTGAACAACCCGATTTGAAATGAAATGAGGAGGGGGCACTTCCTCTCTGCACAGCAGCTATTAACACCCAGCATTAGATTGTAAACAAAATGGGACTTCTAACCACCCAACCCCCATCATAACAGTCTACCACAGCAGGGAATGGCTAGAAAAACCTCCCAACCCCCCTTTCGAAACCACAATAAGAAGTGAACCAGTTTTGAGTTCCTGTGCCTCAACCATTGTTCAGGAGTCACAGAAAACACACAACATGTGTATTCCCACCCAACATCTCAGGGAGGATGACAGTAGCCTTTGGAAGGGTGAAATAAACGTCCTGCTAATGAAAAGTCCTCAAAGTGTTCCTGGGGTCCAGAGCATAGGTCCAGAGCAGCACCGGGGAAATTCAAACAACTGTCCAGCTGACGTAACAAAGGACAGCCTGGGGGGAATTAGAAAACGTAGCTACCAGTCCTGTGACATTAACATCTGTGTGGTCGGCGGTTCTTCATCAGGACGACACGGTGTCCCCACAGTCCTGCAGCCGCTTCACGGCCTCTTTGATCAGGTTCCCGGACAGCAGCAGCTCCTGCAGCAGCCGGTGCGGGTCGTCCTGATCCACGGCCAGTCTCTTCCTGCTCCACGGCTTCATTTGGTCCCAGTCCTGGTTGGGGATGTTGTAGGGGTTTGCCCTGCTGCTGGCCCTCCGGATCCGCATGCAGCAGCCGTGTTTCTGCGCCGGAGCCCCCCCGCTGCTGCTCGCTTTCCCCCCGCAGGACGCGCTCTGTTTCTGGCTGCTGGTGCTGTGCAACTGCAGCGCCTCGCCGATCTTAATCACCAGCGCGTCCACCTCTTTGGAGTCCACGGTGACGGACTGCTCCAGGAAGATGTAGTCCTCCTTCCGACACGGCATTGTGGCGGCTTCTCGCTGTGTTTTCAGGCTGTTTTCGGGGTGTTTTCTCGAGTTTTATCGCCTGAGAGCCGCTACTTGCTCTCACCAAGCCGCTCGGCAGGAACCGACAAGCCGATTTGATTTGTAAACAATGGGTGACGCGTTCTGGAATATACCAAGTTTCCTGCAGCGGGGAGGGGCGTTTTTTGAACCAAAATAAAGTACATTGCTATCACGTAATGAACTACTTCATACCATTTTATAATTCCACAACATTATTCACAACTATGCAACGCAACGAGTAAATTGAAATTCTTGCTTTACGCTATAAACGTTTATTTATTTTCCCGCTTCAACACGGAATCCCCGCAGCGTTGGACCGGCCCTTCAGACGGACATTACATAAGTGATAACTGCTGCTGTCTGTCCAGGCAAAACAAACAAAGGGCTCCTTCTTTATTAAACTACACCCACATTAAAACATAATCATAACAGCATATTTTTTATTAGATACGCATCCAAACATGGTGCTTTATGAACCAGCTCATGCCGTGTTAAGAATATATGTCGAAATTAATTAATTATATTGTAATAATCGACTCAAAGCCAGTGTTATGAAATGATGCAACCCTTGATTCAGCCATAATATACTCTATGTTCACTGCTGATACACACATTATGTCTCCATTGCATTAAGATAGAGTCACCCATTATGATGAGTGTAAATAAACTGATTTAAGCCCGTTTAGAAATAGTCACACCTTTTGATAACAGTCAACATTTGGTTTTTTGATGCTAAGGTTGTTATACTAAGGTAACATATATTAAACTGTGGCATTATATAAAAACACATCTTAAAAGGCTGATGAAACACTCGTATATTTCTCCGTCAAAACAACCACTGATTGTTGTCTATAGTATGTGCACATCTCCACATTTTCGTACACATATTTTAATTATATTTTATCATGCAATTAATGGGACCTTTACCAGTATTCTGATCGTGATTCAGTAAAAGTAGTGATTGTGCAGATTGGTCCATTTCAGAATAATATATATGATATGTTTTATAATGATTGATCATTAAAGTGTTCTCTTAGCTGGTAAAGGTGCAGCTAGTTTGAATGACTTTGTATACTGCAGGGTAGCTTGTGAACTTACTCCAGTGTGTCTGTGCCTGAACACCAGAGGTATTGTTAATAACCAGCTGAATGGGTGCAGTAAGAACTTGGCGGTGAACGGAGTGTGAATCGGAAGGCAGCGTTCACACACCAACAATAGGAGAGAGGGTGTGTGTCTGTGGGAGAACACGGTGTACATTTCTCTTTCTGAGAAACACCAGCCTAAACCTGATGCTCCAGTCAGAGAGAGAGCCCACATGCCCATATAGGGAGCTACTATCACTCACCACGTGGTGCCACAGCCAATCAGAGGGCAGGCTGGGCTGTGTCTCAATGGCAGGGAGGTTGTGGCGGTTGGGAGAGATACCAACATGTGAGAAAAAGATAAACTGTCATCCCTTCCTGAAACAGAAAACAAACAACACCTCCACCGAAAGGTCACAATAAGCAGTTGATGGCATATTTATGAAGTATATTTTCTTTTTGATTGTAAATCAGAATCAGACATGCTTTATTCGCCCCACATCGGGGAAATGCACATTGCTAAAGCAAAGGGATAGTGCACTGCAGATAAAAGATTACAAATAGAGTGATGATAATCTAAATGTGTTGGCCAACCGTCATGTTGGGCGTGATGATGTTTAGACACTTCTTAGCAACATCTGTTTTTAAATTCACCAGTGGGGGATTTACTGACATATTTTATGTCATAAAATTAAAAATCTCTTCGGCTCGTGTTAAAGACAGACCTTATTTCAGTTTAACAACCAAAAACACATTCAGAAAACCGTTGAACAGGGGACAGGAAGTTCTGACTCATATCTGGGTTTACGACTCACTCCTGCTTTGTTGAATAAAGATGCAAGCGCACTTCAATAAGATAAACCCAGATAAGTGTAGAAAATAAGTAGCAGCATTATAAAAAGTAAAAATAAAAGGTGCTTGTTGCACAGTGTTATTACACGTGTTGCATTATAGGCAGAGTCATTGCACGTAGAGACTGTTCTAAAGGCTGCATCACAGTCAAAGGATGTCCTTTTGCTAATAAACCACACTGTGCTAGCTCCACTGAGCAGTCGCTCCCCGACTCGAGGAAGTGAGCTGGCAGAAAAGTGGGTCACACACTTCCTCCTCTCTTTCATGTGTTCCTGTCTGTGAGTCAGCGCCGATGGTAAACACCACTGATACAATTCCTGTTTGTGTGCAACAGCAGCTGCTGCTCTCTCTCTCATGGTCCCTGAACACGCCACAACAACGGGAAGGCTGTGACCTCACCTCCTTTTATTGTTTGTGTGTGAGTGTGTGTGGTGTGTCTGTGACCTCACCTCCTTTCTTGCTTGTGTGTGTGTGAGACATAAGCATTTCTGTGAAGTGTCCTCACTCACAGTCTGTTTATACATCTGTTTACAGTCCACATTTTATGTTTTGAACATATATTATTAAAACATAGCCTTTATTCTACTGTAAATTATTTGTGGTTTTAACCCACTCACTTCACATGTTTAGATTACATAGATTTGTAAGCTTAAATTTGAATGATTGTGTATTGATGGAAGTGCTCATCGCGCATGATTTGCTCCTCGACTGTCAGAAGGGTTTTGAAAGTTTCTTCATTTTATAAATTGTCTACATTTCGTTCAATCCCACTTAAGGCCCTGACACACCAACCTGAGTAGGGCTCCGCGAATGCCCGACTTTTCTGACTCCCAAAATCAGGTAGGTCCGCACCGTCGTTGCTTTACGGCACAGTTTCACACCTCCCGCGGCCGATTCGGTTCAACATGTTGAATCGGCCAAAGAAAGTCGGCCAAAGAAATCACTCTGATTGGCTGTTGCCTCTTTTGAATGACGAATACACACTACCGCTGCCTGCTGGTAAGGACAGTTAT